AGGTGGACACACAGGTGGCAGGTGAGGGCCGAGTAGACGATGCCGCTGCCCAGGTCGTCCCCGAGGGGGGCCGTGGCCTGCTCCAGGGCGAGCGGGCGCTTCTGGCTGTTCTTTCCCTGTGCCACTGGCTCCAGACCCGGGCACTCCGGGGAGCCGCTGGGGAGGAGCGAGTTCTGAGGGCTGGGAGGTGGCCCCATGTCCAGCCCAAAGGTGAACAGGGGGACAGGGGTAGGAACCCCAGGGCTGCCAGGAGTGAGGCCCTGGAAGGGCCTATAGCACCCCTCCCCACTGCTGGCCTCCACCCCAGGTGGCGCTGGGCACATGGCACCGCTGGCCAGCAGGCTGGAGAGGGCCTTGTACCCGGCTTCTCCAGAAGGGCCGCCCACTTCGCCTCCCTGGGTGCAGCCCTGCCTCACTGCCTGCGCGAACTGCCGGTAGCCCCCGGGGGCCGAGGCAGGGGCGGCTGCCCTGTGCTGGAGGACGCTCCATCGGAGGCCCTGCTCCCAGGTTTCTGGCTCAGGCTGGAGCGCAGCGGGTGGCTCAGAGGTTGTGCTTCTGGTACCCCTGCTTGACTAAGCGCCCTCCACAGCCCAGATCCTGTTCCTGTCCACCTAATGGGGCTATTGAATGGATGGCACCTCTGGGCTGATGACCACGCCTCCAGGACCCGGATTTCCCATCTGTCCCCCAAAGCTCCCAATGCGTTCCCGCTGCTTCGTTAGTTCCTAGGCTCAGCGTCCAGTCCAGTGACATGGCAGCAGCTAGTCCGGGGCCGGGCAAGACGTGGGCAACCGAGTGACCAGGTGGACAAGCAGGCCTTGGGCGGCGTGACAGGGGCAGTGCGCGGGGAAGCGTGGACCGATCAAGAGGCCAACAGCTCGCTCACAAGCCCAGGTGCCCGGAGCCTCCGGGGCCCTGCAGGTGGCCCGAGGCAGGGGCTGCCCTGTGCTGGAGGACGCTCCATCGGAGGCCCTGCTCCCAGGTTTCTGGCTCAGGCTGGAGCGCAGCGGGTGGCTCAGAGGCCTGGGGAGCATAGAGGACATTGAGGTCCCCGTCCTCCTGGTGTTCGGCCAGCTGCGGGTCTGAGTCCAGCTCTCCTGGACCCGAGGGCGGGCACAGCAAGCTGCTGAAGCTGCGGTACGCGGGGTTGTCGGTGATGGTGGCCGCGGGCAGCTCTGCGACAGCCGGGCAGGCTGGGCTCTGCGTCCGAGTGGCTGGGGGCGGCTCTGGGTCAGAAGGCTGCCCCCTGCCCCAAAGTGAGGCCTCCTGAGGCGCCTCACCTGGTAACTCAGCCCAAGGCATCTGAGCACTCACACTTGCTGACGGAGGAAGAAGGCAGGGCTCCCCTGAGCCTGGCGGGCAAAAGCCCCCCTCCGCGCCCCCGAGGAGGTCCAGGAGCAGGCTCTCCGTCAGCCGGGCTGCGATGCCTGCCCTGCCCTCCTGGAAGCCACCCCCGCTGCTCTCAGGCGAGGGACAGAAGCTCCCTCCATCTTCCTCCACCGGCTCCTCTTCCTCACTCTGCACCGGGGCCTCGAGCAGCTCCACGCACTTCACCACGCTGATGCTCTCCGGCCAGAGGACCGCGCTGCTGACCTCCACGGGGCGCCACGCTGGTTTCCTAGGGCCCTGGACAGGCCCGCTCCTGGCCACCTGGGAGGAACCGTCACCCCTTTCCACGCCAGGCTCCAGTAAGCAGGGCAGGAGCTTCGTCAGACACGTCTTCCAGTATCTGCAGGAGCAAAGTGTGGTCAGGGCTCAGTGTCTCCACTCAAAAAACTCCTATTCATCCCTCAAAACCCAGCTGGAAGCCACCCTGGACTGATGCCTACCTATTGCAGACGTGCCTCCTGGCTTTACAATCACTGCTATCAGTCTCCCCCACGCCTGCCCTGGGAGCTCCTGGAAGGCAGGGGCCCTGCCTGCCTTCGGGATGTCTGGAGCTCAGCACATAACCTGGGACCCACTACAAGCTCAGATTATTGAATAAATCAAAGTCTTTGTCAGGGATGATAGGATTTAAAACACATACCGACACACAGCATAAGGAATGCCCACTTAGGATGGCTGCAGGTCCAGGGCTCCTAGCTGTGCCAGGTGTAAACTTTAGCTACTGCCCTGTGGGAGCCCAGAGGCCCTGAGGGGGCGCTAGGAGGCTAATGTGATGGTGGCATCCTCAGGGTTTGGGATAGTGGTGCTTGCCAACCAGTACGCAGTTACGTCAGCACTTTAACAACGGGCACAGCTGCCCGGGTACTTGGCTCTACAGCCTTGCTCAGGCCAGAGTGCACCCCAAGGGGCTCAGCACCTGCCTGACCCACCAGGGAAATTCAGGGGCCCAGCCAGCAGCCACCTAGACATGGAGGGGCGAGGGACCCCACTCTCAAGATGGGGCCCACCACGCCAATCCCCCCGCTTCCAAATCCACACAGGCCATGGCCGAAGTTCATATACATACGGGCACTTGGCTGGTTCCTGGCCCCCGGACCTCTTCCCCCGCAGTGGCACCTGAAACACAGACACAGCCAATGAACAGGGAGGAGAGGCCTCCCGCCAGCCTGGCCACAGCGAGCTCCGTGTTCGCCGTGGGAGGACTGTAGGCCCTGACATCACCCGGGTCAGAGGTCAGACCGGGCCACTGCCGCTCCCGGAGCCTCGGTCCCTGGGAATGAGTGAGGCCGCCCTAATATTAAGTTGCTGTGGCTGAAGGCAAAAATGGCCACTGTCACCTGCAGCTCCTCCACCCCTTGGATCTGGCCTGGCCCTGGGACTTGCTTTGGGCAACAGAGAGTGGTATAAGTGACACTGTGCCAACGGCCCAGCCTGCGGGAGGATGAGAAGCCCGGCTGAGTCACTCCATTGCGCAGGCGAGAGTCAGACAACTGCCGCACCTGAGCGTGAAGCCGCTGGGGGCGAGCCAGCCCAGAGAGCTGCCCTGCCCAGCCCAGACCCCCCACCCGGCCCCCTGCTGAGCGACCTGCAGAAGCAAGAGCTACAGATATGGCTTGTTTCAACCAAGTTTCGGGATAATTCGCTACACAGCAAAAGCTGACTGATACAGGGACGACGCTGACTCTGTGCAGGGCCCTGTGATACACACTTTACATGTACTGTCTCGGTGAATTCCAACCATTATATAAAATATAAACACTACTACACGAGAAAACAGAAAACGGAGGCTCGGTCCACCCCTTGGATCTGGCCTGGCTCTGGGACTTGCTTTGGGCAACAGAAAGTGGTATAAGTGACACTGTGCCAACGGCCCAGCCTGCGGGAGGATGAGACGCACGGCTGAGTCACTCCATTGCACAGGCGAAAGTCAGACAACTGCCGCACCTGAGCGTGAAGCCGCTGGGGGCGAGCCAGCCCAGAGAGCTGCCCTGCCCAGGCCCAGATAAGTTTCGGGATAATTCGCTACCCAGCAGAAGCTGACTGATACATGGACAATGCTGACTCTGTGCAGGGCCCTGTGATAGACACTTTACATGTACTGTCTCGGTGAATTCCAACCATTATATAAACACTACAACAACCCACACGAGAAAACGGAGGCTCGGAGAAGTTAAGCCACTCGCTCACACCCAGTCCACTCTGCAGGTGAGTGGCAGAGCCTCGGTTCAAAGTCAGCACCACCGACTCCAGAGCCTGCCAGAGGGTCGCTGGAGACCTGAAGGCCCTGCACCCCCTGCCTCCTTCCTAGAGAAACCCGATGAGCTCAGGCAAACCACACGTGGCCATCGCTCAGGGCTGGCCACCCGGCTGGCCCACGGTATCCCCACTCCTTGCAGGTGAATGGCTTAGGAAAGAGCATGTGATACAACTCAGGCCAATGAGAAAGGAGGAGATTTGCTGGCGCTTTGGCGCAGTTTCCTGCTCGTAAGAGGAACACACAGGAGCCGTGTCCCCCTCTCCCTGGCCTCTTGGCCTCCTGCCCTGATACAGGTACCTCCCCAGGAGATGACATGCTGATGACCTCAGGGGCCATCTCCTCCCAAGGGAAGGAACCTACCCAAGGCTGAAAGGGTGGCTCTGAAAGCTGAGGGGAGGGGGCAGCCTCTGGGCCCCCGATGACCACACTGGGCTGCAGAACCGACCAGCGCTGAGACCTTCCTGACGGCTCAGGTGCAAATCCAAAAGCCAGTGCGCATCTAACATCCCAGACGCCTGAATCCCAGCTCCCGATAGGAGCATCACAGTGTCAGGACCAGCCCTCTCCTACCTGAGGCTCCTGGATGACAACAGCCACGAGGGAGCTGTGGGCCGGGCTGGGGATGTGGTCCCACCATTCCTTCTTAATCCTGAAAAAGGAAAGGGAAACGCGTTGGTCTCTCCTCCCATAAAAATGATCATATGGCCAGTACTTCCTAGGGGTCAGGACCATGTTGATTGGTTTGGGATGTCTCACCCTAAGCCCATGGAACAGGTCCTACTGCCAACCCCATTCACAGATGAGCACAATGAGGCTCACAGGGCTGAAGGGTCAGCTGGCAGCAGAAGAGCCGGTTCGTGCCCCAGCGTTCTGCTCCCAACTCGCTGCCTCTGTCCTCAGTGGAACAAGTCCAGGGAAGTAGGAGGGACTCAAGCTGCAGAGAATTCGGGGTGTGCCCATCAGCAGTCCCCCAGGGAGCAGCTCAGAGTCAGGCCAGGGGAGGCCTGAGAAGCTGAGGAGACCCTGGGAGAAATAGGTTCCTTCCCTCCCCTGGTCGGCCTGGAGCCATGGAGTGTCAGCTCTGAGGGAAGGCCCTCAGATTGCCCCTGGATCGGCCTCCGCTGACTCCATTCAGTCAGTCAGCATGTCCGTACCGAGCACCTACTATGTACCACTCACTGTGCCAGGCCTCGGGGACACAACAGTGAACAAGACAGACAAAAGCCCAGCCCTCACATAGCTGATCTTCTAGAAGAGGAGACAGACAGAAATAACTATAGGACATTAATTATGGCATCAAGTACCATGAGAGAAAATAAAGAAGATAAAGGAATAGAGAGGAATGGAGGGTGTGATCCAGGAAGGCCTCCCTGAGGAGGTGGCCTCTGAGTGGCGACTGAAGGTGGAAGAGGAGCGAGTCATGGCGATGCCAGGGGAAAGGGCTTTCCAGGTAGGGGCACAGCGAGTGCAAAGGCTCGGAGGGAACTTGCTTGGTGCGTTCAAAGAACAGCAAGAAGGCTGGAGTGCTGGACACAGTGAGTGGGGCTGGGAGGACAGGCGATGGGGAAACTGAGGCGCAGAGAAGGGGAAAGACCAGCCCACGGTGACTAGGAGGCGTCGGTGACAAGACACGGAGAGGAGAGCTTGCAATCCCTGCACACTTGCTGTGTGCCCAGCAGAGTGCGGGACACTCGCTCCGTCAGTCCTCGGCCATCACTGATCCTCACATAGTGAGGTAAGACTCATTAGTCCCATTTCAGAGATGGGAGGACTGAGGCTCTGAGACACCCTGTTTCCTGGGAACCAGGCTCCTTCTACCTCCACCCCACTGTGATCCAAGACTTTCTCAGGCCTCTTGGGACTGACAGAATACGTTCTCCCTCTCTCTCAGCCTACAAGGGAGGAGCCAGTCACACAGCTACCAGCGCCAGGGCCAGAACCCGAGCCCAGATCTCCCGACTCTCTCAGGGCAATCGGCTAGAATTCCTCGGTCTATGGTCACCTGCCCCCAACTGTCTGGACCATACCCCGGGCAGGATCCGCCTCCCTTTCCCAAGGGAAGGCCCTTCCCAGCCCCACCCTGGCCAGCTCCTTCCCCCAGTCAGGCCTCAGCTCAAATATCCCCTCCTCCCACCGGACACAGCGCCCGGGACACCTGTGCCCTGCGCCCGCCCGGTGTGTTCCCCTCGGCGCCTGGGCGGCTGTGGAAAGCGCCGTGGCGTTTGCAGACCTGACAGCGTCTCCCACAAGGAGCACAGAGTCCTGCGGGTTTTGTTTCAGCTGTTGCCTCAGTGCCTCGCACGCAGTAGCTGCTCAATAAACATTTATGGTTCAAGGAGGACTGAAGCTGACAGATGAGCGGAGGGACTCCTGCCCACGCCCCCCAGGGGCCGGCCCAGGACTCACTTGAGGATGCTGAAGTAGCAGGACAGGCAGACGACCACGATGACGATGCAGGAGATGCCGACGGCAAGTGGGAGGTGCTGCTCCCAGGGCCACTCGTAGTCTGGAGGTGGGAGGGAAGCCGTGAGCTCGCACTGCGCTAAGTACAGCCTGGTCTCCATTTCCCAAAGCTGGAGACCGGAGCTGCAGGACAGTGTGTCCCAGACCCTGCATGATCGGGCCACCCCCAAGCCCTCCCGCCTCAGCCCCTGCTGCCCTCCCCTTGCACCCTGAGCCCTCGCCACACTGGCCCCTAGCTGCCCCTGCTCCTCCACGCTCAGTGCCAGCTCAGGATCTTGCACTTGCTGCTCTTCCTGAAGCACAGAGGTCAAGGGCAGTGACTCTGGCCCTGGACGAGCTGAGTTCAAAGCCTGGCTCCGTCGTGTCCTCACTGGTGGCCAGGACACGTCCCTCACACTCTCGGTGCCTGGGTTTCCTCATCGGTACAATGGGGTTAACAACAGTGCTCATCTCACGGGGAGCTGTGAGGGTCACGCGACTCACTACCCACCGCACTCAGAGCAGTGCCTGCAGGCCCACAGCTGTTATCACCTTCGCACAGCGGGCTCCTTCTCCTCGTTCCTTTATCCTCACCAGCTCCAAACCCCCCCACGCCCTCTCTACCGTTGCCCCTCTCATCACTCTGTCCCCTTTCCCTGCGTTACTGTCTTCCAGACTGACTGCCCTCTGGGTCTAGATTGATCTGATTTCCTCTTTTCTGTATGTTTATTTTCTGTCCCCCCTCCCCCGAGTGCCAGTTCCAGAAGGCAGGGATTTTGGTCTTCTTTGTTCACCACTGATTTCCCAGTGTCTAGCATGGGGCCACGCATAGTAGGAGCTCAATAAATAGATGTGACAATAATGAACGTGTCCAGCATACTGTACACGTTCCATGCAAGCCGTTTCTCTTCCTTTTCCTTCCCTTCCCTTCCCTTCCCTTCCCTTCCCTTCCCTTCCCTTCCCCAGGCCAATGATAGAATCAAATCAATTCAACAAAACTTTCCCAAGGACTTCCTGTGTGCTTGGCCCCATTCTGGGCACTGGAGACACAGGCACAGGGTAGATACTACCCACAGAGCTCACAGCCCAGGTGGAGACAGGTGAGTGAAGAGACACAGAACAGGTGGGCGATGGGAGAGGGATGTGTGGTGGGTGGGGCTGGAGTACCTGCCAAGCCCCACTGTCCCCAGCACTTGGAAGAATCCTTCTTTAAGTGAGTGTTCACAGGAGGAAGACCGCCCACAGACCAGCACAGTTGGACTGTTACACAGCAAGAAGCACATTTCCACATGTGAAAGCTCGGACCGCGTGGGCACCTGTTACTGCAGCCTCGCCTGCCCGCCCGGGCCAGTGCGCCATGCCCGTCGTTCCTCTGTTACCTGCCGTGGCGGCGTCCTCGGACGGAGACCCAGATGCTCGGCCAGGGCCAGTGTCTGGGCACAGCGTGAGGTGGGGGGAGGATTCTAACTGCTCAGCACTCACCACGGATACTCACCGTGAAGCCACTGGACGCGGGGGCTCCACTCGCTCCACATGCTGTTGTAGCTCGGGGCCCAGGCCCGCACCCGCGCGCTGTAGAGGGCCCCGGGCTTCAGGGTGCTGGCTGGGACGTGGAGGGTGTGCTCCCTGTAGGTCACATTACTGACTAGGAACTGGGGAGGGAAGGAAGACATTACTGCACGGCTGGGGGCGGCGGTACCACTCGCACTCGGGCTGCTGTCCGTGGCTGACCCCACAGTGAGTAAGAGCCAGCAGCCTGGTGTTTGGTCGTTCCTCCAGCTCAGGCATTGTTTGGCACCTCCATCGCTGTGACCGGACTCGAGGGAGAGGGGTCAGGAAACCGGCCCCCCTACCCCCACTGACCAGCCCTCTGACATGACGGGGGCGAGTCGATGAACCTTTCTGAGTGTTAGTTTCCTCATCTGTAAGTTGAGGGCAAGGGTCCCTACTGTCACTTTCGGGCTGTGTGACCTTAGGTTAGTGACAGAACCTCTCTGGTCCTCTTCTGCAATGAGGATAATAAAAGTGCCTGCCTCCCAGGGTGGCTATGAGGAGTAAATGGGTTGATGCAGGGACGCGCTTAGGACAGGGCCTGGTACGCAGGGAGCGTGATGACCTTTCCGAAGCACAGACAGAGTCAGGGAGCCCCTCGCTCCCTCTTGGGCTCTCTAGAGCAGGGGTGGGCAAACTTTTTGACTCGAGGGCCACAATGGGTTCTTAAACTGGACCGGAGGGCCGGAACAAAAGCATGGATGGAGTGTTTGTGTGAACTAATATAAATTCAAAGTAAACATCATTAAAAAAAAGGGTACGGTTTTTTTTTTTTTAGTTTTATTCATTCCAACCAGGCCGGATCCGGCCCGCGGGCCGTAGTTTGCCCACGGCTGCTTTAGAGCCTCACGTCCAGCCCAGTCACAAGACCCCGAACCTCAGCCCCGCCCACCCAGCCCCCACTGGGAAGAGACTTCCAGGATCTGTAGCTAAGTGGACAAGGTTAGATGAGATTAGTAGGTGTTGTCTGCTGCTTGTTGTGTTAAAAAAATGGTGTTGGACAGACTGAGGGCCCCAGGATCCCCCCTTGTATCTTGCCCTCGTGCGGTCCCTCCGCTTGAGTGTGGGCAGGGCTGTGACTTGTTTCTCACCGACAGGACGTACAAAGGTGATGGGTGTGTGGGACCGTACATGTGATTACATCATATGAGACTGTCATTCCGACTCCCTGGGACGCCCTCCCTCCCCCTGGCTGGCTGGGAGAAGGCCATGAGGGAAGAACGGAGGGTGGCCTCCTGCCAAGGGCCAGCAAGGGCCTGCGGCTCTCGGCCCAACAGCCCACGGCACACGGATGCTGCCAACATCACAGGAGCCTGGGAGCCACCCCTCCCTGTGAGCCTCAGGCGAGACCAGTCAGCGTCAGGAGGGAGACGATGCTGAGTGAGGGTCTCGCGGTGGGACTCGGTCATCTGAGAGTTCCGGAAATCTCAGTGTCCCTCCCGGCCCCTGGGACACCCAGCTGTGCCCAGAGCCTCCTTTACCGGGAGGAGCAGGGCCCACAAATCACGTCCCTTCTCTGCGCACCGGGCACCAGGAAGGGGTGGAGGGACAGAAGCCGGGACTCTAGGTCCCGGGGCTGCTGTCAGCCGGCTCCTCTCTGTCCCCCACCCTGGGGCGGGGTCTCCGCTCCCCGAGTCCCAGGAGCTGGTGCAGAACCCCCACAGTGCCCACTCACCTCCGTGGGGTCGTCTTCATTTGAAATGTTGACCAGGTAGAAGAGTTCAGAGTGCAGGAAACTCTCAGGTGGGTACGGGTCGCTCCAGGTCAGCTGCCATGTGTGGGAGTCGGTGGCGTTAACCGTGAGGTTTCCGGGAGCCCTGGGTTTCACTGGGGAGAAGTGGGGCCTGGTGAGGGCTTGTGGGCCCTCGGAACCCAGGCCATTGAGGTTCTCAGTCAACACCACCTCCGCACACATTTGTAAGGCACCACGCAGATTCACAGTCATAACAGTTGCAATCCTAGCACTCATTCTAGCGTCGCTCCACTTCTACCTGGAGCCACAGGGAGCCCAAAACGGAACCCAAACTTCAGCGTTTGCACTTTCATCCTTCATAGTTTTTCTTTATTTTGATTCATGTGTTTAAACTTAGTATCTTTTTAAGCATTCATATCAGTGAGATCACAAGTATATAAGATGCATTAAAGTCAACATACACGTGTGAGAATTATTTTAACTCACGGGTTTGTTCATGGGTCAATTTACCACCAGCGGGTGAGCAGGCCCCTCAGGAACTGCTGATGGAGTGGTGGAGGCTGCGAGAGGCTGCCTGTCCTGCTCAGTAGCTGGGTGACCTAGGCAGGTTACTTGCCTTCTCACTACTACAGTTTATTCAATTGCAAAATGGAGATAGGAACTCTCTTTTGGAAACGGAGGCTCAGAGAGGTAATGTGACTTGCCCAAGGCCACACAGCAATAAATGGTGTTTTAAACTCCCGTCACTACCCCCAGCCAGCTCCTGGGGAATGCCTGCAGGGGCCCCGGGCAGCAGTATAAAGTCAGCCTTCCATGTAGACCAAGCATGTCAAACTCAAAGGCTAACACAGGCCAAATAAACGAGGCATGCAGCCCGCGGCTGCGAGTTTGACATGCTTGGTCCGGACTGTGTGAAGCAGCAGCAGCTGAGCAGTCGAGGGAGGGTGGAGGACAGTTCACAGCTCAGTTTCCGGTCTGCAGCAAGCACGCCTTCCACCAAGCAGCCTGCTCAACACCCAGTCAGGGCACTCACATTCGGGGGGTTGAGATGTCTGAGCTGAAGGGGCCTGGTGCTGCTGAGCCCAACCCCATTTCAAAGAGGGGAGGACTAAGGCCCAGACAGGGCAAGAACCCCATCGAGTTTAAGGAAAGGCTGCTTGGGCCCCTCACCCAGTTGGAGCCAGCCTGGCCCACCCAGGGCCGGGGCTTAGAGCACCCACCCCGCCCCGCCCCACTCACCATGCTCGCTGGGCCTGAAGGAGCCACTCCACAGCCACTGCTTCCCAGCCCACAGGTCCAGCTGGTAGGTGTCCCCACTGACTATGAGGTCCATCAGCATGTCGCACAGGCACACAGCGCTCTCTCCATTCACAGGGACACACGTGTGGTTTCTGCGGACATGGGCTGTGTTAGGCTGGTCGTGCACGTATGGGTGTCCCCCGTACATGCCTTAAGGAACCACATGCTCTTTCAGTTCCCGGTCACCTGCCTCAAGGACCAGGTCAGGGGACTGGGAAGCAGAGCGGCCAGAGTGCGCGGTGGGGACAGTGGGCTAGGACTGCCTTCCCTGCTGCCACAGCCCCTCACCACACCACACCCCTCTGTCCCAGGACTCAGCTAGTCCCTGAAGGCCAGTGAAAGGGAAGACCGTGGCATTGAAGAATCTAACAGCACGTGCGTGTGCTAGCATACCTCGGGGCGCAGCCTCTCCCATGCAGGGCACTGCAGCACACGCCCTGCCACCACACGTCCTCCTAACGTGCTGCCCCAAACAGCCAACCTGTGTCTCGTCCAGGGGGCACATTTTCTGTAAAGGGCCAGACTCTGAGAGCCAGACTCTGAGAGCCAGACAATTTCTGTCCCCACTACACACCCTGCCGATCAAGCACAGAAGCAGCCGTAGGCAACACGTGAACGAATGGGCGTGGCCATGTGCCAGCACTTGACTTACAAAACAGATGGTGGCCCAGTGTGGCCCAGGGTTCCATCTCCGGTCTAAGCCGATGTACTGCGCACGGGAGCACAGTGCGCCCACCTTAGCGCATCGTGGAACACCACCTGTCATGCACCCACATGCTGCGCCGCGGGGCCTGACTGCGTGCCTGTGTACCTGACTGTGTCCTGGCACCCCGTGATGGCTCCCCATGTACATGGACTGTCCCAGTGAATCACGGCACATGTACCTCACGTTCCATGCTGAACTCTACACCAACACTGCGCCCCAACAATGGTCATGCCCGTGGTCTCTGAGTGTGGTCTGGGGACCCACAGGTCAGACCATCTGCCACTGAACTCTCTCTCTCACACACGTACCAAGGAGTTTCTGGAGATCATGTGGTGTGTTATGGTGTCATGGCTCTGGTGGCTTGTGTGCTGTGATTTAAATGTCCTGGTGTAATTCCTAACAGGGTACAGAGCGATCGCTATAGGCCAACTGCACAAACGCTTTTGCAGTCCTCGCTAATTTAAGCATGCTGGAGTCCTGGGACTAAGTGCTTGAGAACCGCTGGTCTGGGCCAATATTCCACCCACATCCACATGCCACGGGCCTGGGTGCGTGTGCTCGGAGCGTCATGACACACCCACTGTATCACACACCGCGGCCCGGCGCCCCAGCTCCAACCCCGGGCCCAGGAAGAACCGCGGGGAACTGCATTCGGCACCCGGCACTCCACCGGGACCAGGCGAACTCAGGCCAACCTCCTGGCCTCCCATCGCCCCCCCCAGCTGGTAGGTGAGGCGGAGCTCGGCGCTGCAGTCGGTGGGGCCGCCCATCCTCCACTCACAGGTGGAGGTGCTGAGGTAGTCGGAGAAGCAGGTGGGCCCATCCCGGACCTGAACACTCCCTGGGGAGACACAGGAGCGCTCTGAGCAGCCGCAGCCCAACAAGCAAGAGGGCCATGGGCCACCGGGAAGGTCGGAAACCAGCCTGAACAGGACCCAGGGGCCCAGCACAAAGCAAGGGAACCACCGCCCCGGGACCGCTCCTGTGCCGTCTCCACAGAGCGTCCAGCTGCACTGAGGCCATCCTGAAGCTGAAGAAGGGCCCTGGGGAGCAGGTCCCCTGGGGGGACACCCCAATGACCTTTATGTGCTGCAGCTCACCTACTTGCCTTTGGCCAAATTAAAGGGAAAACACGTGGCGGGGTGAGGAGGGCGACCCGCCAGCAGCACCTGCCCTGCAGCTTGTGCGGGAGGCGGCTGTCCCTGCGCCGCTCCCGCCCGACCCCCTCCACCCCGCTGAGCTCAGGAGGCTGATCCCCAAGGTCTGTCACCCAGGTGCCCTTGGCCGCTGGCTCCTTGTTGGGTTTGGCCAATATCAAAGGGCAGGATGAGAGGGCGGGGTGCTTCATCCAGCCGGTCAGCGGCAGAGCTGGCTTTGAACCCAGCTTACTGCGGCGCCTCCTCCCTGGCCTCCGGGCTTCCACCCTTGTGCTTACAGACAAAGGGATCTCTTTTAGTGTCACAGTTCATGTCGTTCCTGTGCTCAAACCCTGCCAGGTCCTTCCTGACTTGGCCACCTGCCTCCCGGCCCCACCCCAGCCTCCTCTGGTCCCTCCAGCTCTCCAGGCAGGCTCTCGGCTCCGGCCTCCACTGAGGTCTGCCCGCAGGTGTCTGCACGCTCCCCCTCCTTCAAGTCTTTGCTTGAGCGCCTGTCACTCAGGAGGACCTCCCTGAGCACGTGTTTTAAATTGCAATCCTCCACTTGAGCCCGCTGTCCTAGTCCTCCCTGCTCTGCCCTATATCGTCTTTCCCCACCACCTTCTGACAATCCTAGAATTAGCTTATAATTAGGGCCATCTGTCATTGGCGGCCTCCTCCCACTACAGTGAAATCTCTAAGGCAGTGGTTCTCAATCTTGGCTGCACATTAGAATCACCTGGGAATCTTTTTAAAATCCTGATTTCTGGGCCTCATCCTCCGGAAATTCTGTTTCTTTGTTATGGGGTGGGCCAGGGATCTTCATAACAAAGAAACAGAATTTCCGGAGGATGAGGCCCAGAAATCAGGATTTTAAAAAGATTCCCAGGTGATTCTAATGTGCAGCCAAAGTTGAGAACCACTGCCCTAGAGTCAGCTACCCTGGGTTTGTAACCCCAGTTCTGATACTCCCTAGTTCCTAGAACAATGTCCAATACCTCATAGAGCCTCAGTTCTTCACCTATAAAATGGATAGTTATTGCCTCATAGGGCCCTTATGAGGAGGAAATGATTAATCTGTATGTAGTGCTAAGGGAAGCTCCTGCCACAGGGTAAGTGCTGTCATGGTATTATTATTGCTATTGTCATTAATAATATGACCTCTTTACTGGTCTGCCAGGCCCTCATGGGCAGGAACCAAGTCAGACCCCTTTGGTCTTCCATATCAGAGTTGCTCAGAGACATTTGCTGACTGAACTAAGGTGACCCCATTCCCCCCACCACCACCTCAGGATCCCAAAAGGCTCTGATAAGTCCTGCAACAAGGAAACTTACTTTTCTTCACTTAACTCAACACTTACCAAATTTATTTACCCAACCTTCATTTGTGTGTGTGTGTCAAACCCCCAATTAATCCTCCGAAGGACTTACAATTCCTTGAAATAGTTTGGAAATTCTAACCCGACTGTCCAACCTTACAGAGTTGGTTAAATAAATGATGGTTTACCCATGCAACAAAGTATTGGGCAGCCACTAAAAATGATGCTGTCGAATTAGTGTTAGTCTGACTACATTAATGGCCTCAATTCTTCACTCCTGTGTCTGTGTAACCTTACCTTGAACCCCACCCCACCCCCACCGCTCTGGGCAGGGCGTTCTCCCTGCATTTGGACTCTGGGCTCGCCATGTGACCGGCTTTGGCCAGCAGAGTATTAGCCAGAGTGAGGCAGGCACAGGCCTGCTTTGCACAACCACTGCCTGGAGAACGTGCCTGGCCTCGCCTGTTGGAGGATGGTGACGGGCCAGTCCCAGCAGTCTCCCTCCGCACTGGCAACGGGCGGCTGCCCAGCCCTGTGGTGACCTCCACCTCCGCAGGCCTGGCAGCTGACCTGCGCTGACCTCAGGGGCATGAGCGAGCCCACGAGGTCAGGCCAGCCAGACGGCTGCACCCACACGCTCGAGCTAGGAGTCCCTTACACGGCCCCGAGGCTTTGTGCCTGCTCCTCACACAGCACATTACCCCCTCCCCGACTTCTAACCCCACAGAGGGTTATAGCAGTGAAAGCATGTACCACCCTCATTGTGTTAACGACATCCCACAAGACGTAACTGGGGAATAAAGACTAGAAGGTACAGACACCCAAAGAGAAAACACAGTTCGAATCCCCCAGATCACAAGCCCAGCAATACCCCACTCACATGTTAGGATCGATTCTCTCTTTGCTGCTATGGATACAGGGAGGTAAATGTGAAATTCATTTACCAAAATAGCAGCACCGTCTACACATGAAAACTTGCGTCTTAAACTCACTGCACCATTAACATCACTCCACGCCGAAACGTTCAGATGCAAAGCCTCAGGTCAGTGGTGGCCCACGGTGTGGTGTGCCTGGCACTGGGCTGAGCCTTACTTACTCTGTTACTTTGTTCCGCACAGGCCGTGTCTGCCCGTCCCCGGGGACCTCACCACACGTTTCTCCGATCATCTCCTTAAGTCCCGCACCTGCTCGCCATGCGCTCCTGTGAGCCCTCCGACCTCAGTCGCCAGTGGTTTCCTGAGGACGATGCTCAGAAGCAGAATCCCATCGGGCCACCAGCGTCACCCCCGGCACTCCCAGCACCTCATGCCGAAAGCCCCCCACAAAGCACTGTCCTGGGCTGTATCCGGGCAGTGCTGACAGCGCCCACCCGCGGTCCCGTGGGTCTCTATCATGGGGTCATGTTCAGAGAGGCGGCTGCCAGGCCTCCTCCTGCCACTCGGTAGCCATGTGCTGCCCAGTCACTGTCTCTGGGCTCCGGCCGCTCTACCTGCACCGGGAGTGACGGGTGAAGCTCGCAGGTGCCCTGCACAGAGGAGGCGGCCCTAACGCACTCTGCCGTGTCGGGAGCACGGTGGGGGCTGGAGCCACAGCAGAAGCCCCAGCCCCTGCGGAAAGCTCCGGGGGCTTCATCCCCCGTGAAGGCTCTGCCAGCGCCGCCTCCCTCCCCCAGCCCAGCAGCTGTGCACCTGGCTCCTGCCACCTGCTGGCCTCCACTCCCGCTGCTCCTCCAGCACACCCCACTCAGGCCCACCCCACCCTCTCCTCTCCCGTCCTTCCATTCATTTCCCTCCCTCAGCCTCTCTCTCTTATTTATTTATTCACAGGGATAAATTGCCCCCTCGATACTCCAGGGTAGATTTCAGGGAAACAAGGACATACCCTGCATAGCCACAACGCAACCAGCAAAGTCAGGAAATTACACGGACGCACGACGCAATCTAATCCGCTGACCCTACTTCCATTTTGCTAGCGGCCTCCACAGCGCCCTTCGTCCGCCCAGGACCCAGCCGGGCATGGGATCACCATGCGTCCGGCGCCCAGGTCATGGCTTCTAAATCCTACTCTGCTTTGAAAGGAACCAGCGCCCCTTGGGGAAATTCTGGCTCCAGGGGCAGGGAGGGGCCCGCCTGGACTGTCGCTGTGCCTGGAAGGAAGAGCTCAGGAATGCTGGGGACACGGTGAAGGGCAGGAGTCAGCTCGGACGGTGCCCACTGGCCCACCTGGGCACAATGGAAGCATCACAATGACATTATATAAACCAGCTGTAGCCCCGGGAGTTAGAGCAGGGGTGCAGGAGTCTGCAGTGACAGGTCACAAGTCAGGGAGCAGGGACAGCTCTCGTCACCACGGCAGCCTCTAGCTCCCCACCAACCTCGTGTTAGCTATTTACTAATTAATGAGTCAAGTAACTAACATCATGATTTTACATAATCTATATGTATAATTGTGCATAACTTTACGCACAGAAGCCTGGAAGACACCACCTTCACCACGCGGTCAGAGTTAGCATCGCCCTTTGCGGACCGAGCACTTTCTGCAGCTCTGCCCCGAGAGGAAAGGATGGGGCTCTCGGGGTTCCTGCCCCGAAGTCACAAACCTGCAGAGGCTCAGACAGGCCGGAGCTGAGGGCGCCGGGGAGGAACTGCCCCCGTCCCCACGGGGGCGAAGGGCAAGGAGCGTGTGGGAGAGACTGTTCTTTCCACGCCGAGGGCTGCGGTGGCCTCGTTCACTGCCGGTCCCAGTGCCGGCGTCGGTGGCGGGCACGCAGCACGTGCTCAGTGAAGGTCGGCTGAATCAAGTCACTTTGGAGAGACACGTGCCCCTGATGGGCTCCGCATGGGGCTGCAGGCTCTCCCCGGGGAGACGGGTACCCCTTCCTTGCGGTCACGTGACGATCAGGAAGCGGGGGAGGGAGTGCGGTGGTGGGCTGTGATGCCGCTTCCTCTGCAGAGTCCCGTAACTTTCCCTCTCGCAGCTCGCAGGTGCCACCGCGTCCTGCGGCAGAGGGGGCCAGGGCGTCACTTCAGCCCCGATTCTGAATAAAGAGAAACAGGGAGGCGAAGATGCCTGTCCGAGGCCACACCACAGAAGGGCTGTCGTGGTAAAGGCCTCCAAAAGGGTGGACTGAAACAGCACCCTGACTGCAGCCAGGGTGTCATCCTTGACACACACACACACACACACACACACACACACACACGTGCGCTCGCACATGGCACTCATCAGCGGGCTGCACAGGATGCGGGAGCTGCATTTCAGGGAAACCATGGCCCAGGTGCAGGTAAATAAAGGATTAAAAACAAGAATTGCCAAGTGATCCCAGTCAAGCATGTGGCAGGAGGAAACAACTCCCAGCCCGCACCCTCAGTCAGCGATTCCTGACCTGCTGGAGTTGGGCGGAGTCTCAGGGGTGGCCTGCCTCTGGACAGGGAGCCCCGCGAACACCCATCTCGGACATGCTGCGGTGCAGCGTCTGCTCGCACTCCTCCATGGACGGGGCACACACCCCCAGGCCATGGCTGCACAGAGCCTGACCACTGGCCACAGGTGCCTGTGTGGAGCCAAGGACTGTGCAGATAAAATCCTGCGTGTGAAGTACCCGCATTGTGCTCGGCACTTTGCGAGGTGCGGTAGAAGCATGACCGTACGGGGTCTGCCCGAGACCCTGCGAGATGGGCTGTGATCCCCACTTTCCACCCAAGGAACCGAGGCCAGAGGTCAAACAACTTGCCCATCAGGTCCCACCGCTAATGAGAGGGCAGAGCTAGAGCCAGGACCCAGGTCTGTTGGCTTCCGAGCCAAGGCACCTTCCAATGTATCAACGCCTTCAACGTTTCCTCCCAGAACCGCAGGCTGAACCCAAGGAGATGAATGAAATGAGCCAGAAAGAG